AACACCACAACGTGAGTGTTACGTGGCGAGTGTGACATGCCACCAAATATGGCCATTACCCCTTGTCAAGATCCATTGCTAGACAAGGTTTGCCAGAAGAGGAGAATAAACCGAAAACTAACCACCGGGCTCATCTGGAACATCACTGCAGATCTCGCAGTCCGCGCTTGGTTGCTCAAAGGCTAGAATGGTGCATCCTCGAACAAGGACTACTCTGGATCGGGCAACCGCTTAGTAGCCCACAACGAGCACAACTATGAGCTTTCATGCTCTCATGACATATACATATATATTGTTAATTAAGGAGTGAATTTTCTCCTGATGGCAGGGAAAATCCATATCATATACTACTTGGAAATGATTTCGTTTAGAGACCGAAGATGAGCTCCAAAATATCCACACATCCACCAGTCCGATGATCAAGAATACTTGAAATCTGTGGGTCGTGTTCCAGGGGAGCTAAGCGCATGCACCGATTGTTTGTGGACACGTGCGTGTGTGTGTGTGTGTAGCTTTGTGTAGATGACTTGTTCCTGTTTCTGATGTGCCTAGAATCGAAGAATATCGAACCTTGATAGCCTTGATAATCAACCGGGAACTCCAAAACAGCGAGTGGAATACATCGGCCACAATCAAGGATTGGGATTAATTTCCGCAAGGTTTCGGAAACCACTGCATTCCTGACGATTGACCTTGTCGGTTTGGTGTTCAGTATAGTGTTTAGGCATCCGTTCGAACGATCGCCGGATCGCGCTCAATTATATTTCATCAATGTAACCATCTTTTCGAAGTATTTGACTGTGCAGCTCAATTCAGTTTGCCCAATTATTAACCATGCAAACTTTCGTGTGCCGGTTTTGGTTACTACCTTCTGGCTGCCCATTTGAATGAACAATAAGCGAAAGACCGGAAGCTTGAAGGATTAGAGTTGAAGAGAAAATTGAGAACGCCAGTAAACTATGGCTGAAAATAAACCAAGAAGAAGAATTTCAAATCCGAAGGTTTGAGGTTCACGTACTGTATTACATCGTGTATGATTTTTGCAAGAAATGAAGCTTACCTTTCAATTAGAAAGCTATACACACCAACCGTCACAAAGAACATAATCAACGGTGAAAAAATGTCCACAGACATGAGGACATTTCATAGTTCAAGATTAAGACAAACTTCACTTATTACCCTCTCTTTGTTTGTGAGTAAATGTGCAAGATACGGTATAGGTGAATTTCGGTAAGCGTTTATTCGAGATGAAACTCAGTAAAATTAAGAGGGAACGGAACGATATCGTGTCAGTTCTGCGTGCAATGGGGTGATCAGGATCTGTGAGAGAATCCTCTCCGCGCAAATTTCACAAAGGGGAGTTACGTGATACTACGAAAGCTTCACAGCTAAATCATTCACAGGAAAAGAAGAAACGCAGCTAGTCATAGTTATACCACTGCAAGCACCGAAGAAAAAAAGTAAGGAACACTGATTAACCGTAGATAAAGAGGAAATAGTTGCCTAGTATTTTTTTCTCTGTCTGTCAGTCATGGTGTTGTGAGATACTACTCATTTGTGAGTAGTCGGTAACTTTCGTCGGAAATTTGATTTGAGTGCCGCCACTTCATCCGTCAGTCTGTCGACTTCACGTCTTCCGGTGGCTCATCCTTATGGACTTCCTGCGTTCGCACCGCCGCAATTTCCTGAGTGATGAACTGCCTCACAACTTCGGCCAGCGTCATTACGCCCATGATACGTGCCACATTGATGAGTTTCGCTTTCTCGTGTATGTCTTCTGGGAGGTTTTCTGTAAAACGGTCAAGGAGTAGTTCCGAGCGAGCATTCTCATCCATTATCGGTAGTGCGCGATCCAATAGCCCACGCGGGGCCGCGGCATGCGAAAGTGGGTCCACACCGACTCCGAGCTGCGCCGTCTTGAAGCGACGGAGTGCTTCCTGGCGGCCGGCCGGGGTGTCAAAGCCCGCGATCAGGGCTACCTTCGCGAGGGTCTACTCCATTTTCTCCGGGCCTCTTCGTGCCGCATCCAACACTGCCCGCGCACGACTCTTGAGGACACTCGGAGGGCCGTCAACTTGCCGCGATCCGTCCGTATTCCGGCCAGCTCCGCCACATCCTCGAACTCTTCCAAGAACATCCGCACATCCCCATCCTCGAAGGCTGCTGGCCACGGAACCTTCATCCTGATCCTGGCGACGGCACCAATTGTTATATTCCGAAAAGGCGGTGCTGGTCGAGGAGAGTTCTTTATGGTAGAATACAGATTGAAGGTCACTAATTTTGCATGCATAACACGAAAACCTTATCAGAAAGATGCCATCGCAACACATCGCGACACATAGAGTAACGGGTAGAGCAGGCAGTGTTTATTCTTCCCAAATATATATTTCTTCGTCCTTGATGGTCTTGTTCTAATTTTAATCACCGAAAGTTACCAACTACTCACAAGTGAGTAGTATCTCACAACAATAGCACAAATTATCTGACAAGTAGAATAGTTTGAATTTTTAATTTTCATCCATTTAGTCGACGTGCAATGATGTTTGATTTGTCGGTCGAGGTTAGTCAACAGCTGACAGTGAACAAATAATGAAGATTGACAAACATATACACACACATACACACACAAACTTTCTTTTTAAACTTCTAATCTTACAGTAACTCAGACAACTTATTGATTGTTTTGATCGATCGTAGACCGTACCCACGTGAACCGAGTACGTCCGGAAACATCACTTTCTTCCCGCGGTTTAGACATGATGGATGGGGAGAAAATTCAAAGGGCTCTTCTTTCGACCGGTGAAGTGTCTCATCGAGTTTACTCGGTTCAAACTCGAGAATCGGATAAGAGTGTGAGTACCTCGCCCGAATTGAAACCGATTTCAAATCCGTCCGAGGACGGACCGTCCCGAAGTGATACACGCGCCTGTTTAGATCCAGTTCCCCGATCCCGGAGTGTAGTAGCCATGAAGGAGGCTTCAAGAAAAGCTACACGTAAACAACAGGCGCGTCAGGGCACGGCTGAACCAACCACACATCCGGCACTCATCTCTTCCCTGTTTCCCAATGTTCCTCCGGTTCTTCGTTTTGTGGACGAAGGCTACAAATGTGAGTAAATGTGAGATATAATAATAGAAATTTATTATTTTCATATGAATCGGAATAGTTAACAGCCGATCGCATGGGATGAGCACCGATACTAGCAACAAGCTGGCAACGAATGGGTTGTACTGTATAGCGTGGTTAGTCAAAATGAGAAACAGTCTGATCCATTACTCCGGAGATAACCGAATAGGTAGTATGCTTGCGTCCTATCTGTGATGAGGTGCCGGGTTCAATCCCCAATCCGG